ATATATATATATATATAGTAACGTAATAATTAATTTCAACACTTATTTCAGCAATAATTTATTTCAAATAGGTGTATGTATTTTAAAAAAAGATGAGAGTTTAGATTCGATTTGTTCTTGTTGACTACTCAAAAGGGAATATTTAATTAACCTAATTTCTCATTAAGATGTGAATTTTCCCCTAAATTATGAACCATTAATGTCAATATTAATACTTGTGAAGAGATGCTGACATAAAAACTGTTTTTAAATGACCTACTCCAAGTTCATCCGCTAACTGTTGTCCTGAGGATCTGCTCTCCTCTGAGTCTCTGCAAGAAAAAAAAAACAGCACAGTGAAGGTCTCTGAGGGGTTTTTACTAACAATATCTTCATTGTACTAAACAAATGTACCAAGAGTTACAAAGTTTACGAAACAGTTTTACTTTCCTTGGGTGGTTACATGAGGTAAACATGAAGACGAGCCACTTTCCCGCGTTTTTCTAACAGTCGTTACTTGAAGAATTGGTTTATACTGATGATTCATTCTATAAAAACGTATTTAAGGTTAACTATGCCAATGGGTGCGTAGAATATTTGGTGTTTTGTTGGGTTATTGATAACTTTTATTGGGTTATTTAATAACTCAATCCTGTAGGTTAAAAATTTGAATTTCAACAGTCAACTGATTGTCAACCAGAACAGCTGCATGTTAATATGCTGCGTACTATTGTTTTTGCGTTATAAAGTTCATTTTAGCTCCTATATATATATATATATATTTTTTTTTTTTTCTTGTTTACTCCTTTCCGTGTGTCGAGTGATTTTTATATCCATTTCATAATATATTATACCCGGTATCAGTAACTATTACATTTAGTTTGTTTAGAGTATATTTTGTTACAGCAAGTTCCCTACAAAAAGGGTGGCTAGCGTTAACTTCAGTTTGTAAAATAACAATGAATAATAGTCGTTAACCTACAAATCATTTGATCTCATCATCACATAACCTTATCAAACTCAAATCTCCCTAAACCATTAGCAAATGTCACTGTGTCCGATACACACACAGCTAAGATAAGACGAGTAAATCCGCCCGTATATTACTCACGAGTTCATAAGTCGGTCTCAAATCACACGATATGGTGCTGCAACCTTTCACACACGTCTCTCAGCTATGATGATGAGGAATACACACTACCACAAAATACCAAAAGGCTTGTTTATCGCTAATTTCACCTAAAATGTCAAACTTTACTGCTTTTCCTACGTGTTTTCCGTTTATTTACGGTTGTGAATCGCATTATGGGATGTCGATATTTGCTCGATTTTTGATGGTGAAAATTCAACAGTTTAACAAAGTGACATTTATTGACATTTTTTCACACATATTACGACACAGCTATAATAATGAGGAAGACACACTCACCACAACATGAAAAATGCTGGTTATCGCTGCAAATTTCACCTAAAATGTCAAACTTTACTGTTCTCGCCAGCTCGGTCCACTTGTTTAATTAACGTTAATGAGTTCAGCTGCGCGTCTAAAAGCAACAGTTTCTCTAAAATCAACATCATTCCCTCAACCATACGGATTGTTTTAGTAGCTATAGCTTTCTGTTTTTCTCTCAGAAACAGATTAAATTAATCACTGCGGTCGATATCCTAAAATAAAAGTATTGTAAACCTCCAATTAACAACCCCACGTGAAAACAAATATTTTATTTCCCGGTGAGTAAAATTAGGTGGTTCATTCCGCTGTGGTGACCCCTGATTAACAAAGGGACTAAAAGAAAATGAATGTTAGTGAAATTAACGAAGGGCATCAGTTTTTTGGTTACCAACATTATTGGAAAAACAATCTGTAGAGATCTAATTTGTCCAGCAGATGTCAGCAGCTGACTGTGTGTTTATTGGGAAGACCTTTTTAAATATACTCTAGAGAAAATCAGTAATCTGAATGCTTCTTTTGACTGGAGTAATCTTCCTTTTTCTTTCAGATCAATTAAGACAGATTTAGTCTTTTCAGGACTATTTTTGTAAACAACTTATAAATGTTTTTATTTGTTCCAATTTGATATGACTTATTATAAATTTTTATATCCAATTGTATGTACTTTTGATTATATTTTTTGTTTTGTAGCTCAGCAATAAAAACAAACAAATAAAAGTTACTTCAAATTAGAAATGATCTGTGTTGAATGCATTCGCCCCAACCCTCTCTATCATTCTCAGACTGGATGGTGGGCCAAATCAAAGGTTACAGTGGACCAACTCTGACCCGTAGCCCTACTTTGGGCATCTCTGGTTTAGAGATTGCCGTTTGTAACATTTTGCTTGTGTTATTGTTAAAGACTTTCTAAAATGAAATGTTTCAATTAAATATTATAATTTAATTAGATTTAGTTTAAATGTAGATACTGTCACCTTATGGATAGAGGAGAATGCAGAGACTTTGGTGAGCAAATCAAGTCAGATTCTGCTTGACTAGTGTATTCAGCATTGAACTCCACCGTTCACTGTTATGTTTTTATTGCAATACGTTACTTAAAATAAGAGTATAGAAGTATTAAGAGTCCCTTTTTCAAACTTTTTAAGGTTAAAAGTTGTTGGAGGAAATATCAAGATCCATTAATGCACTTCAAAAGCATAAATAAATGAGAAAAAAATAAA